CCCACCCAAACCATCCCACGGTTCCACGATTTGGTGCAAAGCTCACAACCCCCCTTTTGCCTCTGCCCCACTTTGGGGGGGGTTCCCCAGGTCTCCCTGCCCACGGGACCCAACCCTGGGAGAGGGAGGGTTGGAAGAGCTGCAAGGAAAGGCCGATGTGGGTTTGGGAAATCATGGAATTGTTTGGGTTGGAAAAGGCCTTCCAGGATCACCCAGCCCAACCTTTCCCCCAGCCCTGCCCAGGCCACCCCTGCCCCAGGTCCCTCAGCACCATCTCCAGGGCTTGGAACCCCCCAGGGATGGGGACTCCCCCCCATCCAACCACCCTCAGGGCACGTTTTCCTGCAGGATTTTCCCCCAGAGGGTGTTTCCACGAAATCCATAGAATCCTGGGATGGTTTGGGTGGGAGGGACCTCACAGCTCATCCCCCCACCCCTGCCATGGGGCCCCCCCGGGGAGGTGACCCTTCCCATCAAGGTGCCACCAGGAGGTAATTAATGAACCTCCAGGCAGGGGCACAGACTGAGCTTGTTACTGACCCCAGGGGTGTCCCCGGGTGTGACCCCAGAGGTGTCCCCAGGGGTGTCCCTGGGTGTGCCCCCCCCACGGCCGAGGCAGGAACGAGATCTCCAGGGTCCCCCCACCCCAACCCACCCGGGGCTGGGTGAGTGCTGGGGGTCCCTGCCCCCCCCCCCCGGGACCCTCTCCCAAGGCTCTGGGGCCGTTCTCCCCCTGCCCGGCAGCTCCCGAGCTCTGCTGAGGGACCCTCCCCCTGCCCAGGGTCCCTCCTGCCCCTCGGGAGCAGCGGGATGAGGGGGATCGGGGGGATCAGGGATGAGGGGGGTCGGGGGGCCGGGAGGAGCTGGGAAGCGCTGGGGGGGGGGAACCAGGTGACTGGGGGAGCTGCAAAACGCAAACACCGACCGAACCAGCCCCCCCAGGAGTGGGGATGGGGGAGCAAAGAACCGACCCCCCAGCCAGGAGAGGTGGAATAAACCTGCTTGGGAAAGATGATTTAAAAGATGCCACAAAGAGCCCCGAGCCCAGTTTGTGGTTATTGATGAACCCGCAGGTCCGGGTGGTCTGGGTGGGAAGGGACCTGAAAGCCCCTCCCCAGCTTTCCTGGAGCCCCTTCAGGCCCTGGAAGCTGCTCTCAGGTCTCCCTGGAGCCTTCTCTTCTCCAGGCTCAACACCCCAACTCTCCCAGCCTGTCCCAGCCCTCCCAGCATCGGGTTCACTGATGGGAAACAGCTCAGGGTTTTCACAGGGTCCTTGTTTACAAGGGTGGGGGTGACAGGACAAGGGTGATGGTTTTAAACTGGCAGAGGGAGCTGGAGCTGAGATGGGAGGGAGAAATTCTGGGCTGTGAGGGTGGGGAGAGCCTGGCCCAGGTTGCCCAGGGAAGCTGTGGCTGCCCCATCCCTGGGGGTGTTGAAGGGCAGGTTGGATGGGGCTTGGAGCAGCCTGGGCTGCTGGGAGGTGTCCCTGCCCATGCAGGGGGGGCACTGGGTGGGATTTGAGGTCCCTTCCCACCCAAACCATCCCACGGTTCCATGACTCTCTCCACAAATCCCTGGATCTGCCAGCACGACCTTCAAGAGGAACAACCATTTTTGGTCCTGAGGGGTCAGGCAGGACCTGGGGACCCCCTGGCACAGGCAGGTGTGGGGACAGAAGGGGAGCGGGGGGTGGTGACCACACTGGCAGCAGGAGCTGCTGGGAGGGAGGTGACAGAGGGGGCTGGAGGTGCCAGGAGGAGACTCTGCAGAAGGAGCTGAGGCTTTGGAAGGGCACAGAGGAGAAACCCCCCAGGAGCAGAGCAGGGGAAGGTTCTGCTCCAGATGGAGAAGTGCCAGGGAAGTGGCTCTGCTTGGCAGGGGGGGGGAGCAGGGGGTGCTCAGCCCTGCAGCTTGGAAATAATAGTTAGAAACCACTCATTTGGTCTTTACCAGCTGCTCTGCCTCTTCCAGGAAGGAGAATGGGATCTGGGAAGGAAATGAGCCTGGGCAGGAAGGTCCCACCAGCCCCTGGTGCTGCTGTGAGGGTGGGATCTGGGGGGTCCCAGCCTGGAGCCACCACCTGGTCCCCAGGGTGACACAGGGACACCCAGCCTGGTCCCTGCAGGGCAGCCCATGGGTGTGACATGTCCCCCTCTGGGACACACCAGCCCCTTGGGGGGTTTTGCCTGTTCCCCTGCCCAGTCCCCAGGCCCCCCCTGCCCCACACCAGCCCCCACGTTGAGGGGTCTCTGTCCCCATCTGTGCCCACTGCATCTCCAGGACCACCCTGGGCTGTTTCTCCTTTTGCAATCATAGAACACTGGAATCACAGGCTGGTTTGGGTTGGAGGGACCTCAGATCCCACCCAGTCCCACCCTGCATGGGCAGGGACACCTCCCACCACCGAGGAGGGGACAAGATGTCCTTGGCATGGATGGGAAAGAGAATCTTCCAAAGCTGCAGCCCCAAGGAGCTCCCCTGGGTCTGGGCTGAGCTGCAGGGCCCAGCCCAGGGCAGGTGCCAGGTTTCCCTGCCTGGAGGAGGGAGCAGGAAGGTCCCTTCCCTGCAGGTGCTGGGAGGGAAAGTGACTGTGCAAGCAACACCAGTGATGACACAGCCCGTGGGGACAAAGGAGCAGCAGCTGCGTCCCTGCCCCGCGCTGGGAACTCCAGCAGCTGAGCTGGGGAGCAGGGACCCTGCCTGACCCTGCCCCAGCCTGGCTCCTGTCCCTGCTGTCCCCAGGGTGACACCTGGCTCAGCTGCACAGTCACAGGCAGGGCTGGACCCTCTGCAGCCAAACCCCCCACAGAGCTGAAACCCACAGGACCCACCACGGAATCATCAACTCACAGAATGGTTCGGTTGGAGGGACCTCAAATCCCACCCAGTGCCCCCCCTGCATGGGCAGGGACACCTCCCAGCAGCCCAGGCTGCTCCAAGCCCCATCCAACCTGCCCTTCAACACCCCCAGGGATGGGGCAGCCACAGCTTCCCTGGGCAACCTGGGCCAGGCTCTCCCCACCCTCACAGCCCAGAATTTCTCCCTCCCATCTCAGCTCCAGCTCCCTCTGCCAGCTGGAAACCCTTCCCCCTGCTCCCATCCCTCCCTGCCCTTGTCCCAAGCCCCTCCCCAGCTTTCCTGGAGCCCCATTTCAGGACATGATGGATCACAGAGCCTCAGGGGTTGGAAGGGACCTCCAAAGCTCACCCAGCCCACCCCCCCTGCCAGAGCAGGGTCACCCAGAGCACATCCCACAGGGATGTGTCTCCCACACCCTGCACATCCCACAGGGATGTTTGCCAGAAGGGGACACATCACAGGCTGGGTGGGCAGCACAACCTCAGGTGGGACCTGACTCTCCTGATGGCAGCAGAGCCCTGATGGCCACGTGGGGAGATGCCAGGGTCCCTTGCTCTGCACTTGGAGCAGCCCCTGCCCTTGGGCCTTGCTCAGGGCCCCAGAGAGGACAAGTGGCTGCAACAGGTCCCAGGGTGTCCTCCCAGGAGGTTGAGCTTGGCCAACGTGCAGGGTTGAGGAGGCCCCATTGC